GGGGGGGGGGGGGGTTGGGGATGGGGTGCAGGGGGCGGCATTTTCGGAAAACTATAGAGGTATTTTTATTTTCGAGTCAGGGGCGCGGTGAATATCTTTTTCCCGCCCCGGGTGGTGCCAACCCTGACTACGTCACTGAAAGGCGGTATCTTCTTCGACGGCACATTTTATGTTGATATAAACATTGTTTGTGTGGTAGGGGCGCACTTTTGAGAGTTCACCCTTAGCGGAAGTTGGAACTGTCGAAAAAAGTATGTCACCCCCTTGGGTTATATCCAGAAGAGCCAATACTTTTCGTAAGGTTTTTTTTTTAATTGTTATTGCTAATAGTAAATTCTTGTCTTCAGTAATGAAAAGCCAAAAATTAATTTCGCTGCTATTTGTTTAAATGAAGTCCTTGTGAAGATATGTGGTACCTCGAGGAATGGAGGACCGGAAACAGCATTTTGATTGCGGAAAATGGTCTCTTGTCTGAAGGGTAACCACTCTTCTCACAATTTTTGTATTAACAAAACTAAGTTTAACTAAACCAGCTGGCATCTTAGCAGTATTGTATAATTATTTTTTTTTAGTATTGTATAATAGTATTGAATTGTAGTATTGTTTTGTAGTATTGCATGGTTGTATGTGACGCAACGTACGTTGTCTAGAGTTCGGTCCCCTTGCGTAATAGCCACAGAACAATTTGTTCGGGTCTAGAACCCCTTTATTTCTAGCCCCTACAGGGCCGATGTGATGAATGACCTTCTAGCCCCTACAGGGCCGATGTGATGAATGACCTTCTAGCCCCTACAGGGCTGATGTGATGAATGACCTTCTAGCCCCTACAGGGCCGATGTGATGAATGACCTTCTAGCCCCTACAGGGCCGATGTGATGTATGTTCCAAGTATCAAAACAAGCGATTCATAGATTCAAGTTTCTTACTATTTATTGGATCCATGTGGATGACAGTGGAAAAAGTGCACACGAAATAATCTCTGGTGTTCAGAATACAAGAAACGTGTCCAGAAATGCTACGCATACTATACAAATTATAGTTACACAAGTCCTAGTGAGAATTTACTAAAGTCCTCTTCCATCCATACTTATAAAGATCAATATTCTAAGGGTGCGAGATGACTCTCTTAGGACCCCGGCCGTGGAACATGGCCAAGTAGTCCCTGGGGACTCCGGCCATGCAACTCGGTCATGAATAAAATGGGTTTGGAACAGCTTTACTTCCTCCCCGGAGATGGCGTTGCGTTACCACCCCCACCGTCCGGGGGCTGTCCGTTTTCCCAGTGTGGGACGGCTTTGCTTCCTCCCCGGAGATGACGTTGCGTTGCCACCTCCACCGCCCGGGAGCTGTACGTTTTCCCTGGTGTGGGACGGCTTTGCCTCCTCTCCGGGAGTAGCTGCTGGCTTACTAACTCCCACCATCCCGGGAGTCCTGAGCCAAGTTAGGGGTTCCCTAAGAATTGTCTCCCCCCGGGGAGGCGTTGCCTTGCCTCACCCCGCGTTTTTCCGGAAGCTGTTCGGACCGGACATAGCGGCTTTAACTTCCTCTCCGGGTGGGGCGTTGCGTTGCCTCGACCCACCGCTCTGGGAGCTGTTCGGACTGGACATGTTGGGACGAAACGGTCGCCTAGGGGTGGCTTTCTCAGGGCCACGTCTTTTTAATCATTGGCAAGGGTTTTTGGGCCCACTACCTCATACCCATAACCGGCAACACGTAATCATGTTAGCGCTTCCTTCCGTTGCGTTAGAAGTCATGCGTTTTGCAAAATAAATAAATAAATAAATGAGTAGTGGGTTTGAGCAAAATATCTTCCTCCCAGTGGAAGGGGGCTTTGCGTTACCCCCTCCCCTAGCCCAGTGGGTCTTCCGATAGGGACAGTGTGATCTTTGGCTTCAGGGAGCACGCCCTATACTAGTCTGTTACGCCACGAAGAGGCAGATCACGTGTACACCACTCGAGCAAAATGGTGCCGGTTTCCCCCAGCAAGAGCCAACCGAGGGACACCGAACAGTCCATCCATACTAAAAAGGTCCATCTCTCCACAAAACTAAAATCATACACCTTATCCACAGCAGTCGCCGCTGTTTTTTCAAAAATCTCCCCTTCTTTTTCCAATCATCACGTGGTTTTTCCAGACACACCACCACGGTCACACGTGACTGAGCAAAACTCGTGGGGCATACGGGGAAGAACCCACGTGTAATACTATTGTATTGTAGTATTGTATTGTAGTATTGTATTTTAGTATTGTGTTGTAGTATTGTGTTGTAGTATTGTGTTGTAGTATTGTGTTGTAGTATTGTGTTGTAGTATTGTGTTGTAGTATTGTGTTGTAGTATTGTGTTGTAGTATTGTGTTGTAGTATTGTATTGTAGTATTGTGTTGTAGTATTGTATTGTAGTATTTTATCGTAGTATTTATTGTAATATTGTGTTGTAGTATTGCATTGTAGTATTGTATTGTAGTATAGTATTGTAGTATTGTATTGTAGTATTGTATTGTAGTTTTGAATTGTAGTATTGCATTGCAGTATTGTATTGTAGTATTTTATTGTAGTATTGTATTGTAGTTTTTAATTGTAGTATTGCATTGTAGTATTGTATTGTAGTATTGTATTGTAGTATTTTATCGTAGTATTTTATTGTAATATTGTGTTGTAGTATTGAATTGTAGTATTGTATTGTAGTATAGTATTGTAGTATTGCATTGCAGTATTGTATTGTAGTATTGTATAGGAGTATTATATAATAATATTGAATTGTAGTATTGTATTGTAGTATTATGTTGTAGTATTGGCTTGTAATATTGTATTGTAGTATTGTATCGTAGTATTGTTTAATAATATTAAATTGTAGTATTGTATTGTAGTATTGTGTTGTAATATTGCATTGTAGAATTGTATTGTAGTATAGTATTATAGTATTGTATTGTAGTATCATATTGTAATCTTGTATCGAAGTATAGTATTGTATTATTGTATTTCAGTATTGAACTTTTGTATTTTTTTGTGATTGTAATTCTTGGTTCCATATAAGCAATATGTCATCCACATTTCCAGCAGGTCTTCTTCCATTCGTTGAAAATGACCCGTGCACGTTCTGCACACAACACCAGGACATTTTGCTTATCTTACCATACAGACATACACATACATACCTGAATACTTAGAGAACTAGTATGTGAGATAGTTATCCTTTAATTAACAAAGATGGTGTGAGTTATCTAGGATGCACTACAATTGTATAAACACAACCTTACCTTTAAGAACTTGCGGCCTTACCATAGATCTATTTGACCTTTCGAATTTCTGGCCCAAAAGAAAACTAGAAGCAGTCTTGAGAACCCAAGGAACCAAGTAAAAAAAAAAAAAGCGCTTTTTTTACGACTTTGTAGCATAACATAAAAGCGCTTATTCTATGTTTTGTGTGTTACAAAATTTATGTTAGATGCAAAAAAATAAAAGTAATAAAACGTTTCCATCGACAAAAATGAGGTTTGCAAACAGTGTCACATTATGCCATTAGGTGTCAGAATGGGCAACAAAAGAAACTCAATCAGAAGGGACAAAGAAAGCAAACTTTGCACTCAGAGTACGGCAAACATTGGGTCAAACTGAACAAATGAAGTGAGTGTGCGGTAATTAATACGTCAATATAAGGCGGGTTTCTTAATCTGTGTCGTATGGCACCCCGGGGCCACTTCATAAATCTTGAGGACTACGAAACGTTTAAAAAGAATTAATAGCTGTATATAAAATCATAACTTTAAAAAAAAAAAAATTAACAACAGGTAAGAGGTTTACTCTGTTCAATATAGTGATGAAATAAGGCACAAGGACATACCGACTGAGAAGCAGTATTTAATGTATGGATTTACCGAATAGAACAGTTACTCAAACGACTATGGTACAGGTAGTTATTATGCCACAAAAGGTTGGTGCAGTCAAAATTTAACGAACAAGGCGTCTATAACCATGGTTGGAGGGGGTTGGGTTTTTTTGATGGTAGCCCTCATCATTACCTTCAATGTAACTAGCTCACTCTTCTAGCAAAGAAACTTGGTCTCTCTTCCAGACGCTCGTGGGGAAAAACATGATATTTTCTCGTTTTTACCTAAATATTTATTTCTCATAAAAGTCCTTATTTTCTGAAGACATTACTTTCTGAATATCTTATTTTCTGATGATGTTTTTTTGTGTGTTAAAGTCGTTATTTTCTGAAATTTTATTTTCTGAGGATTTAAAAAAAAAAAATATTTGAAGATGACAATTTCTGAAGATGTTATCTCCTGAAGAAAGTTCATTTCTGATCAACTCCGAATTCCCCTATCACAATTTGACCCCTCCGCCACTGAAATCGTTTTATTTTTGTTTTAAATTATACATTGAGCAATAAAAGAAAGATCATATGTTAAATATTGATTCCATTAATAGACGTCTGATGTTGCTCTTGGTTCACATTGACGTCTGACGTGGCTCTTCGTGGACATGCCTAGCACCTATTGAAATAATCGTTTGAGCAGCGCGGTCTTTAATCTTAACTTAATATGCTTATTAAACAAAGTAGATGCTCAATCAGGTCGGTTCTCCTATATTTAATAACAAGTGTGTTCTACATACCGGTAGTGTACCCTTATATTTGCAGGGATGCTTCGATTTGTGAGATGTGTTTTCAAAGCTTCACCGATCTCCAATTGCCCGGATGTGGAGATGCGGACATTTCGGAGCAAACCTCTCTGTCCTGCGCCAGGTCGTGTGTCATCAATCCGAGCTGTACGGCGTTCATGTTTAGTGGCACCATTTGTAAGACGTGTGCAGGCGGCCTGTTCACTGGTCTAGAGTTCGTTCAAGGTCAGAGTACTTTCCTGCAGAGAACCCTGAAGATTACTGATTTATTCTACAATCCTGATTTCGGGGACGTTATTCAAGTGCTGCCGATACCTGGTGGAATATCAAGTGGTCGAGTGGTAACTATCATTTGTTTCATATTCAGACGAAAAATATTTTATGTGCCCTATGCACCAAAAACTAACAGCACACAAGTACCGCATTTTGAGCTCTTACACTCTTTTATCGATGGTGCCCAGCTCAAGCCATAACGTGTTCCTAGTAGTGAAAACTAAGATATGTTGGGCGATTGTTGTTAAAAATGGTTCTCTCGACAGAAAAACAATCATTCATCATGTTCCTTCTTTTTCTGCTGATGCGTAAAGTATATCAACATGTGACCCCCTTTTTTTTTTCTTTAAAGATGGCAGAACTCTTTTGAGAGAGATTTTATACGACTGCAACAAGCAACACAACGGCGCTGTCTTTAGTTACGGAATTTTTCCCTTATGAAAACGGAGAGAACAAAAATGTAACGGACTGCCAGTGAGTGCTTTGATAACTGATCATCATGTACGTCTTCTAAAGCAGGTGCCTCAGTCGCCTCTACAATATCTACGGCGAATAGCCTTGAACCTGAAAATACAAATACGTCCTTTTGCGGATTGTTTTTTCAGTTGAATACTCGAACCGGATACGGGTTGAACAATTCTTGACGAAGCTTGATATGTAGAACAGGATGATGTATCGTGGAACATTGTTAGCTGGGGGTGTACAAAGATTCATCTTCATGTATGAATGCATGATGCTCCGAAGAAAGTCATATTTACGCACTAGTTTATCACGATTACCCCTTCCGTTGACCACAGTATTCTTCGAGAAAGGTACAATTTTGAAACAATCGTCATTAAAAAACGTGTACCTTCTTGCCTTTGTATTGAAACTCGCTCGAAAATGTTATGCCATCTACTGCACTATCCAACCCACATTATGCACAATTGCGTACGTGTGAAAATTATGGTAAGCTAAAACAGCTATTGTCCTTCGTAGAGACATCCATTTGAAACTGTACCCCCACCCCCAACCCCCCGCGCCCCAACATATCTTCCTTTTCACTAATGGGAATACGTGGCAGCTGAAATATGCACCGTTGACAAACACGTACGTACGCGTTCAAGACGTGAGAGATTCTCAACTGTTAGTTTTCTAGCACGCTGTTAATTATATAATATATATTATGTGCTATGCCGTAGAAAGTGTTCAATATTATTTATTTTTGTTATACGTGGTTTTATATAGCGTGGTACCCCAGCCTAGGGCTGGGCTCAACAGGCTGTACATACAGCCTAGGTCTGGGCTCAACAGGCTGTACATACAATTTAACAGACATAAAAAAAAATAAAAAAAATTGACATACATTAATTAAATAAAACAAAAAAAAATCTATATTTAAAACTATTTCCATCTCAAGCCATGGACGACACTCAGTACCATCGTTTTATGGTCAGAGGTGGGAATCGGTCAGGATAATAGAGATTAAAAAGTTGTGTTTTGAGTGCAGTTTTGAAGGTTGTGATGGTCGGTATATTGCGGATGTGTAATGGAAGAGAATTCCATTGTTTGGGTGCACAGAAAGAGAACGATCGTTCACCGTATGTTTTTGTGCGAGTCTAGGGGACAGAAAGAATACGCGCGTCTGTGGAGGAGCGAAGCTGTCGAAGGGGTGAATAGACATAGAGAAGTTCGGTTAGATAGGAAGGCGAGGAATTCGAGAAAAAGTTGTGTCAGAGAATAGAGAGTTTGTAGTCAATACGTGCTTGTATAGGGAGCCAAGGAAATGAATGAAGTAGGGGTGTGACGTGATCACGCATTTTTTGCCTTTAGAATTAGCTTAGCGCTGAGTTTTGAACATTTTGTAATTTTTCTAAGAAGTGTTTTGGTGAACCTGATAGAGGAGAATTACAATAGTCAAGACGAGAGAAAACAAGAGCACAGACTAGGTTTTTTGTTACACCAACTGTAAGGTATTGGCGGATGGAGCTTATCTGACGAATGGCGGTGTATGCAGAGCGATAAATGTGAGAGGTATGATTGTCGAGAGACATCTTGTTAGATAGAATATAACCAAGATTCCTAGCGGAGAATATAAACAATATGTCAGAGTTACCTCCATGAAATGAAGTGGGGAGAGCTGAGTTAGAGGATAATTTGTGATCGTGAAAAAGGAGTGCTTCCGTTTTGTCATCGTTAAGCTTCAACTTGTTGAGTGTCATCCATGTCTTGACATCATCAATATACTAAAAATCCCAACCACATAGGGACAACATTTAGCTGTATCCTAAACTACCAATAATTGTTTATGTAGAAGATTAACTGTAAAACTATCTTTTCTTTCTTTGTTTTTAAAGTACATTGGCTGTTTTCAATATGTTTAAAGAGGAAGATGTACCGTAAATTTTTCTCATTAATTACATTAGCAATGTAACACTTTGTTTATATTTTAGGGCTACCTCCACGCCACGCTAATGGCAAACTACACTTTCAACATAGACTTTGCTCAAGATTTTGCCGTGAGATACAGCATTTTCCATTTTAAAGCGAGGTGGGATCCCAACAACGACAGGAAGCTGGTTTTAAGCCAACGCAACAACGGAACCTGGGGTAACCCGGAAGTGTTTCCTACATTTCCGTTTCCGTTCGAATTGGACATGCCCTTCACCTTACACGTCCTGATCACACCCAAAAGTTTCGACGTGTACGTCAACGCGAACTACTGCTGCTACTACAACCACACTCTGGCTGTCGGTGACGTCAGATACATGCGGGTTGCTGGGAAATTAAATGTTCACGAGATGTCCGTCTGAACGTTGAATTTTTTTTTTTTATTTTGGGCATTTTTTTTAATATCATAATATGTAGATGCCTCATCGTTTTCCTATATTTTAGTTTTAATTAAAAATACTAGCAGTAGCCATCTTCCTCTTTTCTGATCTCTCTATATATGCATTCATCTATATAAACATATACATATATCAATTCCTCTTTATTCTTTATCTTACTTTTGCTTGTTCTCTCTTTCCCTCCCTTCCCCTCTCTTTCTTCCTCTCTATCTCTCTCTGTCTCTCCCTACCCCCCCCCTAATCTCTCTACCTGTCACTCACTTCCTCTTCCTAACTCAAATCACTTATTAAATTCACCACCTGTTCAACATGATGAAAATAAATTCTCGCCTTGAATAATTTAGAGCTCGTATTCATGATATCCTTTTAGCCACGTTAACTTTTGAGTCAGGTGTGGTGGATGAAAAGTGGTGTCATAGGGACTTCGTCAGAAACATGGCACCATGTCTAAAGCCGCATCAGCACCCTCTTCACAGCTGACGATTCCATAACAATTGATTGTCATAACATGCAAATTTCGAATAATTATTCCTCGACTATAATGCATAATGTGTATAACCGTCGCGCTAAAAGTATACAACTACGCGCTAACAGTATACAACCCTTATGACAAAAGTATACAACCCCCATGCCGAAAGTAACAAATCCTCATGCCCAACATACATAATGCTCATGCCAAAAGTATACAACCCTAATGCCAAAAGTATACAACCAAAGGACCAAAGCATAAAAACCCATGTCAAAAGTATGCGACCCTCATGTTAAAAGTATACAACCCTGATATCAACATTATACGACCCTCATGGTGCTGGGTGGCCGAAACTGTCTCAAACCAAAAAGCCGGTGGCCCGGAGTTCAATCCCCACCAAAGCCATCCCAAGCACCCCGGGTGGATGGGACTCGTTAGCCTTGGACGGCAACCCATCTAAGAGAAGGCGAACTCTGAATTTAAACCAGGAGCCAGAAATGATCAACAAATTGATCGTGGGCTCCTCAAATATAAGAAGAAAGAAGAAGAAAAGTATACAATCCTCATGTCAAAAGTATACAACCCTCACGTCAAAAGTTAAAAATTTAATTTAAAACTTCTCCAATTTTACCAGCTTCATAGAGAAGAATATTAAAGGGGTGTCTTACATTTCTATGGACAAGAATTGTCCGGATCTTATGCAAACAGTTATCAAGGATCGTGTAGATCATGCCAAAGTTGATCTGGAGTGTCATCTTAAATTTAACTCCAAAATATGGATTATGAAATTACAGATTTTAATTATTAAATTTAAAAAAATTAATTTGCACGTTTTTAATTTACATAAAAATCATAAACCAGGAATGGGCTTAAACAATTTTATATTTGTGCTTTATTTTTATAAAAAAAATTTGCAAATGAACAGAGCTTAAAAAAGAGTTGGTTTTTAAAAAAGTAAAAATTTAATTAAATACAAGTTATATAAATACATACATTATATAACACAGATCGCTTATTTGTCAGTTTGACAAAAATCAATATTTTTAACAACTTATCCATAAAACAATTTCATTTGGAGAATATATAGTAAAAATACTCTTGACCAAGGTCAGTGGACATATAAATTAAGATTATATCAATCGTATCTTTATATTTAACACAAAATATTGGTATCAAAAGGAGACATCACTTAAAATCATTTGTAACAAACCATTGCACAAACATGGTAAATAATGAAAGTCTTGGAATTCAATGTAAAGTTGAGACATTTCGTACAAATAAAAACAGACAAGTTTCATCATTGGAAACTACTAAAAAATAATCTTGAAGTTTCCATTATTTCAAATGTATTGCTGCGATTCACTAATATATGTAAATACACATATATCTGTACGAATATAAAACTATTTTAGGACCATGTCCTTGTCAATGAATTACCGAGTCGTTTGTCTTGCACAGTGAATGTCAGTTTCGTCAGAGACCGGCGCTAAAAGTAGGTCAGAGCGAGAGCGTTGTGGAAAATGTTTTTTTTACACAAAAATAAACAACCCATATGCTGCAAGATACCACAAAATTTCATTTAGTAAATCCGATTCTTTCTATTATCCACAAATCCAATAATGTAAAGTAAGTAGAATTGGATAATGAGATAGACAACGATTGCGATTAACACAATTTTGGGACTCATTGAGATGTTCCAAGAGCGCTTTGATTGTCTTGTGAGGGCTGCATTTAATGTCTCTTCTTTGAGCCTCTGGCTGCTTGTATGTACATGTCGTCTTTTGTAGTTCTTAATGTCTTTCTTTTGCACAATCTGCGGGGCACCTTGTTCGGAAAAAACAATTAGAAATTTATTATTTCTATGGAAATTGTAGGATATAGCTGACAGTTTTGTCCAAAAAAGTTCTTCATTCAATAAAGAACAGCTAGGGACTATATCTATCTCAATAACAAAAAGATCCAAGTGATCCACATTTACAACAGGAACCATTCGTTGTTGGTCTATTGTACTTAGGACAATGTCCCTCTGCTTTGCCGAGAAAGCCAACGTCACAAAGTCCTCCAACATTGGTTTGATCTCGAGGCCAGCGATCCCGACAATCTCGCCCAGTTCGTACTCGAGACATTTGGAAGGACTTATCCCAAAATACACCGTGCCATTCTGCCTGTCGTTAAGACACGCAGATATGAACTTTATCAACTCTTCCATCATGCGCTCTGAGCCCTCGGTGCTGCCGTCGCTGTCGATGAGATGAAAATTTTTCAACGGCGATAATTTTTTAGAGCTTAATATGCTGGGGATGTCGACAATGCGACCTTTTGTGTAATGATCTGAGGGCGTGACCTGGCTTCTAAAACTCAACAAGTTATTTTTATGAGACGCACGTTTCAAACATCTTGCCATAGGTGAATTGGCTACACGCTGGCGGAGTTCACGTCTGTTTGTTGATGATGCGAACGAATTCGGAGAAGAAAGCTGGCGATGAACTTTACCCTTTCTCGAAAATGTCGGATCAGACCGTTGTCTTTTTATTTTTGAGGTATTCGTGACGTGGCGCAGACAACGGGAACTGGGTTGGCGCTGGGTTGGACCTCGATCTTGTTCCGCAGCGTCGTGTCTCCCGGGGGTGTTGTCCGCTGTGGGTAGCTGCGACGCGTTTCCTTGTTCACCTCCAAATGACGCATCAGGCGTCGTCACCGTCTTGAACGCGGACGTTCTGCTTGTCTCGCCAAGACACTTTCCTTCTTGATGTGACATGTGCGCAGTCGCGAGATCATCAGTTGAGCCTTGTGGCGTAGAAGATGATTTGTTGTAATTCAAGCGAGCAGGAGATTCGATCCGTGCACTGCAGCTTATATCGTTTTGATGGCTTGATTCAACATTGCCATTCGTGAAGGTTCTTTTGACATTATAAGTTTGGTTATCTGAAGGAATCAGAAAAATAAGAAAACAATTCAAAACAAAACCCGACACATTCAAGGGCCAACTTGGCGGCGAATGCCTTTATCGGTAAAGGAAGAAAATGTACACGTAGTTAAATTAAACTTCACTGAATATAATAATTGTATTCTATATTATAAATGATGAAAAGGAAAGGTCAGAAAAATCTCTCACAAAACTGGAGAAACGATAAAAAAAAATAATAAAAGGAAGTCAGTGGAAGTTCAGAGAAAACAAAAAAGCAGGCAACCACTTGGTAGCTATATATAATTGCGAATTTGATGGAGAATATTTTGAGTCAAAGTAAAATAAAATTGTAAGTATAAATACTTTGAACTGTACTCTTAGCGTACAGTACACCAGTAACTGCAGTATCTTACATTCTGCTATGGTTACCAATTTTGATAGTTTCTAAACGGGACAGATATCTTGGTTTTTCAATTGTGATGGTGTTCTCTCAACCGGTCTTTAAGGCGAGTCTTTTCTCCCCTACGAAGCACTTTCCGCACTTTTACAAAGAGTGAGACACGTTATATTAAAACTTGAGCAAGTAAATCAATAATTATTACAAACACACCCTGAGCGAAGATGATTTCACCTAATTCAATCGACTTTGAAATTAAACAAAACTAAAATTTCAACTTTTGAAGAGTTATATATTTACTTCATGCTAAATTTCAACATGAAATTCATTTCTTTATTTACGATTAAATAAGATTATATATCTTATAAAAGGATATCACCAAACACAAAATGAAATCCACTCATATATAATTCCATCATTTTGACACCTAAAAGTTTTACATCTGTTTAAAAAAACTGGTGATGCCTTTGTTTAAAAAAAGTCTTGTTTTTTGTAGTACATTATTTAAACTATATCTGCAAACCTTTGGCCACTGGCTTCACTTCTTTATTGTCTTTTGATCTCAACGTTTTGTTGCGGAAGTCCATAATACCTATATTTGAAATCCATCTTCATGACGTCAAGGAAAATTAATGTATTTTGAGATTTCACTGGTCGTACGTTAACAATGTGGTGGTAAGTTATCTCTAAATGCATGTTTCTAAGTTTGAAAAATAAACTATCGGTCATTCAGTAATAGATATGAAAAGTTGACATTAAAAATACTTTTAAGAAGACTCCTTGGAAGTCGAAAGTAAAAAAATTAATAAAAAGAAAATAAAACAAATGGATCGTAATTCCTGGGCTTTCAAAATTTTTTTTAGAATATTTCTGTGATAACATCATGTGGAATGATCCTCATCAATTTTGTTCCCACATTTCTTTTAGTGCCCACGGATACTACTTCCAAGCTAAGTGTTATTCCTTATTTTTTATTTTATGAAGTATGAAGTTTGTTTCTGTTGTTTTGTTCGCTGACGAAGGCTTTCTGCCAACACGTTCGTTGTTTTGTTGCGTTTCTTTTTTCAGGTTTAACCCTACTCTGTTTCACTCATTTTATATTGACATTTTTCCCCTTCTGTGATCT